CCAATCTCCCACTCCTGCATCCCTTTCCCCATCATCCCGATCCTGATGTCTACCATCATATTAAATCCATATATCCCCAGCCCTATATCCCTATTCCTATTCCTTTCCAGACCCCCCTATCGCCTGGGACTTCCTCGCGACGTACCCAGGAGTCCCAGTCTCGCCTGGGATGCCTGGGTTCTGCCTCGCGTGTGCTGTGAGGGGGCCCGATTCTCCTAAGAGGGGTGATTCTAGCATCCAGTATGGCTAAAAAAAGCGCCGCCGTTGCCGTGCCGTGCCTAGCTTCTGGAACGCGAAAGGTTAGCCGCCCGCGAGTCGTGCCGTGCCGAGTGCGTGCCACTGCCGTGCCAATGCCGTGCCCAGCTGCCGTGACGCGAAGAGGAAGTCGACACCCGCGGGCCGTGCCGCGCCGCGCCCAGCGCCGGGACTGCGAGGAAGCTGCCGCCCGCGCGCTCTGCCGTGCTCCTGCGCCGTGCCGTGCGGCGCCCAGCTCCTGGGATGCGAAGACGCCGCGCCCCGCGTGCCGTGCCGTTGCCCGTGCCGTGCCGTGCCGTGCCGGGTGCTCGGGGTGCGAGAAGGCGGTGGCCGTGTGCCACGCTGTGCAGTGCCGTGCCCGCACGCCGTGCCGTGGCGTGCCGTGCCCGCGTGCCGTGCCGTGGCACGCCGTGCCATGCCTGACTGGTGCCCGGAGTGCGAGACAATCGCTGCCCGCGTTCCGTGCCGTGGCTTGCCGTGGTCGTGTGCCGTGGCGTGCTCGGCTTCTGGAGTTGCCGCCCGCATGCCGTGCCGTGCTCGTGTGCCGTTGCCTTGCCGTGCCGTTGGCCTGCGTGCTGATTCTGTGACACCGTCATTGCCAATGCCATCGCCATCATCTCCATCAGTTCGAGCCTCCAGCGCAAAGCATTGTCTCTCGGTCGCCACCTGATCAGAATGAGAACACGTTGCCGTGCCACGTATCTCATCATGCAACGTTGGTGTGTTAGGTCTCTCTGCCGTTGCAGCTTCTACCCAGGAATCGCGCTGTCTCTGGGGACTTCCGTGCAATTCACTCGGGAATCGCGCTCCTCCCCTCCTCCTGCACGAACTTTGCGCGCAGATGCATTGCCGCAGTTGCTGGCCGACCCTGGGCCGCTCTGTCGGCGCAGGCTCGCCCTTCAGCCGCTGCGGAGCAGCGGCGCCTTGCCAGGCACGTCCTTGTCTTCCAGTCGCATCATCGACAGACCTGGGACCTTCGGCAGGTTTCCCCAGCGTTTGTCGCCGGGAGGGCGCGTTTCTCGGCGCGTAGGGCTTCAGATCTCGCGGCTCTTGGAAAGATCGGCCCAGGCAAGGCTTGGCGAGGAGATCTGTTCTGGAGGCCGCTCAGTGAGCTGCTGCATCGGAAGATAAATGAGGACGGGGGGGGAGCCTGGGACGGGGGGTGCTTGGGGATTTCGTGAGCAGCGAACGCTTCGAGGACTCCTCATGGGACCTCACTGGTGCCAGAATCGGTTGCACCAGCACGACCCAGCTCTACCCTCGGAGTGCTTAGCGTGCGGTGAGCACGGCACCCTTTTCCATCGGCATTTACGCTGCCCGTCGCGCCGGCCTTGGCGACGGAACAAGCTGCCTGGCAGTGTAGTGAGAGCGGCTAATCGAGTAGCCACGTTCAGTATCGAGCTTCTGTCCGGGAGACCCTGGGACGAAACCACGGGCATTCGAGTGGACGGAGGCCTTGCGGGGCCTTTGATGCTGTCCAACAAACATGCTTTCTGCGGTGGCTCAGGCCCAGATCGACTGTTCCCCTCGCCCCGAGTGGCTGGTTTGGGAGTCCACGTCTTTGATGAGAACCGCAGGTGCGCTGCAGAGTGGTATGGTTCCGTGCCGCCAGCCACCTTGTTCGACCAGGTGGCACGAGACGGCGAGGACTAAGCAGTTAGTATTGTTTCGAAGCTACGCGCAGGAGATTCTACCCTTTACACTGGCTGCAAAGGCACGTTGGACTGCTGCCCAAATAAGTCTAGGGGGTTCTCCTCTCGAACCCCAGGGCCCATTTTTGGAAGCTGCCCTGGAAGTCTGGAGGCCTGGAGGCAGCACTTTTCAAGAAGGTCCCACCACATGCGACAATGAAATATATGCGGGATAGCCTGGCCGAATTCGAGCACGCAGGTAGCCACAGCGCTGATCGACTTGCCAAGCTGGGCGCCTGCATGGTCCAGCACGACTCTGAAGATGTGTTGCTGGCGAAGAGTTGCCTCGCCCTGTCTTTACTGGGACGCCCGCCCGGATCTGTGGTGTGACGCCCCGTCCTTTTAGACGTCGTGCTCTTCGCTGTTGGGAAAGGCCCGTAGGCACGCTAACGGCGATGTAGGTAACGGCGATGTAGGTTTCGGTCTTGTGGGAAGGCGTGGCTTGTGCTTTCTTGCAATTCGCCGTGCCATTTTCGTTCGGTACATTCGCAGATGGGAGAGGTCGGAAAGTGTGGTTCGTGATTTCCTACCATGTGGTTCCCAACATCACCGTTAAGACATATCGCCGTTGGGATGGCCTTGGAAGGCGGAGTAGTGGTTGCTATGGCCAGCACCGTCAGGCTAGTCCTGGGTTTCGCCGTGGCTTTCGCTTAGCGGCCAGCCCGAGCCAGCGTTGGCACCCTGTGACATTGTAGAGTTCTTGGGCGCTCTTCGCATGCTGATTCGGCCCCTCTCTCCACCGACGTACCTGGAGAGTGCATTCATGTTTTGTGACACTGCAAGGTCTTTCAACAGCGTGTTTTGTTGGAGGTGGGGAGCTTGGTTTAGACCTCGTGGCTCGCGGTCGATGTTTTCGTCATCCCGATCCTGCGGCCGTCGTGGCGTCCGTGTGCGGGGTGGGATTCAGGCCCCGCTGGGTGGTGCTCCAGAGGCGGCTTGCTTGCCCGTGGCTCCGCGACCCTGTGGCCCACCTGGGCAGCGCAAAAGAAACGCGTCGTCTACGCGGACATGGGCGCGTAAGCGCGCTTCGTATGGTCGCGCCTTCGTCGCCAATGCAGCGTGCCGCGCCAGCGGCCCGCGTACGCCGTCACGGAAGGTCACCATGTCATCTCGCGTAAGATGCGTTCTTTTTCGTCTTTCACCTGTCCGTTTGGGCGTGACCCCCATGTGGGCCGATTTGGCCTTGCTTCCAAGTTTGAAGCGTATCCCTATCCCTATGTTGCATGACCTTACCTCGACGCCGATCTCAGGGATTCCCTCAGTCTCTGAGGGCATATCCCTAGGATTGTCGTCGCTTTTAGCTTGCCCATCTTAGGGACTGGGACAAGCTCGAGTCTGGTTCTCTGCCCGTGCCCCCGCGGCCCACGGCGGCCCCACGGGGTGGGGCGGGGCTCGGCAGCCGATGGCGGCGGCCCTGGGGCCCCTCGTGGCCGGTGCTGTTTTCCCAGCCATCCTATGGTGTCGGGTCTACGTCTTGAGGAGACAGCACCCCGCGTCCCACCCCAGCTCACCTTCCTCCTCCCCCTCCTCCCTCCTCCCCTGGGTGCCTCTGCTCTTCGCATCAGTCTACCATGTCGGCACGGCCCTCACGCGTTTCGTGGCTCCATGGGGAGCTCCACCGAAGGCTCCGATGGCGGTGTTCGCATGCGTTCCCGCCGCCCATTTCGGCACACCCATCACGCGCTTCGGGGCCCCATGCGGAGCTCCATCGAAGGCCAAGTGGCGCTGTTCATCACACGTTTCGTGGCCCCAGAGGAGGGCCCCACGGCCCCACCGAAGCCCCAAAGGCGGCGTTCGCATGCGTCCCCGCCACCCATGTCGGCACACCCATCACGCGCTTCGTGCCCCCATGGGGAGTTCAACCGAAGGCCCCTGAGGCGGCGTTCCCATGCGTCGCCGGCACCGATTTCGGCCAACCCCGCACACGTCTCGTGGCCGCACAGGGAGCTCCATCGAAGGCCCCAATGGCGCTGTTCGCATGCGTCCCCGCCACCATTTTCGGCACCCCCCTCACACGTTTCGTGGCCCCATAGGGAGCTGCACCGAAGGCCCCAATGGCGGTGTTCACATGCGTCCCCGCCACCGATTTTGGTCAACCCCTCAAACCTTGGTGACCTTGGTGGCCCGACAGGAAGCTCCACCGAAGACGAGATTCACCAGCGCGCTACTCACAACTGCACATGGCTGGGTCTTTCGCCAAGATGATTCGGGGAGCCGCCCACAGAATAGTTCCTGAGCATATTGTTGTCCACGAGTTGTTTGGATTTGGTTTGGTACTCTCTATCTCTCTCACTCTCTCTCTCTCTCTCTCTCTTCGTCTCTCTGTCTTTATATATTACTTGTTGTTCTCTCTCTCTCTCTCTCGCGACGCATGTCACCTTTCCTTTCGGAAAAGCGGCGGGGTGGGGGTGGAGGCGAGGAGGGAGCTCACTCTCGGGCGCAGCCGAGGCAGGGTGGGGGGGCTGGGACATGAGCATCGCGAGCGCGCACCAACGCATCCCACCCCCAATCATCCTTTTGAGGGGGTGGGATGCGTGCGCACATTTCACGTAAGCACACACACACACACTCTCTCTCTCTCTCTCTCCCCGCTTCCGCACAGTTTCCTGCTGGCCCGCCTGGGTCGCGCACCCGCCGCAACTGAGGTCATCAAGTGGCCGATGGACGATGTGGGAGACGAGCTGGTGGATTTCCTGAAGTCGCAGCCCGACGAGGTACTCGAGGCCGGCACGCGATGGAACGGGAGGCGGCGGAGGAGTTGCCAAGGATTGATTACGGGCGAACGTGTAGGCTTTCGAGACCCGCGACATGGTCTAGCAGCTCTGCGCCTTGCCCAGCGCTGTCTGGGGCGCTGGAGACCTCCGAAGCAGCCCTCTCTGGCGGGCGGGCCCTTTTACCTCTAGCCCCTTCTCAGTGTGGCAGTCTCAACGGTGCCGTTCGTAGGAGTCGCTCCGCCCGTCAGGATGCACTTGCCAGAATGCCCCTTCCTGGGACACAGCACTTTCTTGCGATCAAGGGGCCCGCATCTGTCGCAGCACAAGATTTGCTCCGACCATGGCGGGCGAGATGGCGATCAGCGCGTTCGATGACCCGCGCCTGGAGTGGGACCACGGCGAGCCGTCCGCACGCGGAGGGAGTTGGAAGATCGACGAGGCCGGTGAGCTGGTCGTGGCGCCAGAGCCGCAGAGGGACTACTGGTCGCGCACCTTCTACTCGCCGCTCTTGGTCAAGCACGATGCGCAGACGTTGCTGGCTACCGTGCCAGCAGACGACGAGGCGACGCTGACGACGGCGTTCACGCTGACGCCGCGCGCTCAGTTCGACCAGGCGGGCATCATGGTGCTCGTGGACGAGGGGTGCTGGGTCAAGGCCGGCATCGAGTTCACGGACGGCGTCCCGCGCTTGTCCTGCGTGGTGACGAATGACGGCTTCTCGGACTGGAGCACGCAGGCCTGGCGGCCGCCGGCGCCGGCCGCGGCGGCGGGCGCGACCTCGGTGAGGGTGCGCGTCAGCAAGCTGCTGCCAGGCGCGGCGCAGGGGCCGTGTCTAGTGATGGAGGCGTGCCCATGCCCTGGCGTCGCGCAGGAGGGGGCCAAGCGAGGGCTCGGCCTGAACGGTGTGTAGCGATCTCGTGGGCCGTTTTCGTTTTGAGCTCGTTTTGCACAGCAGAGGCGGGACGAAGACAGAACGAAGGAAAACGACGACAAAACGAACACTGAAAACATTGTTTAGTCGGGCCGAACGAAAGGAGGGGATAGGGAAAGGGGGGGTACGAAATCTGCTGCATGCAGGCTTCGGCCCCGCCGACGGGCCAATTCCTTGGTACATGTGCGCCTCCCGGCGCCTGGATGCGCTGGGAAAATCAGCTAAGTGAGCTGATTCTCTACCCTAGCCTTTGCTATCCCCCCCTGTCGTTCCCCCCGATGTAGGTCGAGCCCTGGGGCCAAGCGAGGGCAGGCCTCCCCCGCTCCCTGCTGCCTTTGTTCCTTTTGGCCCTCGGCGGAGGCTCTCCTCGTGGCCAGGGCTGGGTGCAGCTCGAGCCACTGGCCAGGATGGCTCAGGAGGGAACAAAACACACAGACACAATGAACCGTCGATTCCCCAGAAATATGTGAAAATCTGGGAAGCGGGGTGGAAGACGGTAACCCAGAAAATTTAGGAAAATATAGGGAATCCTGTTATCTGCCCGCCTGCCCTCGACGAGGCCCTCTCGGAGGCCTCTGACCTTACGCCAGGACGGAACAAGAAAAACACAGACACAATGAATCGTGGATTCCCCAGAAAATATAAGAGATCATGGGAAGTGTGGGGGGGAAGACAAAAACCCAGAAAATAGAAGAAAAGATTGGAAATCCTGTTACTTGTGTCTACTTATTTGTGTGTCCCAGGGCCCCTTCATTACGATCCGACGCTCCAGAAAAATTGGGGCGCCAGCCGGGCTTCGGGAGCGTCAAAAGAACGACCCAGGACGAAGAACCGGCCCTCGAGAAGTGGTTCGGACCTCTTCGGGGCCCACGCATCGAAACAATTGGGGCAGCTGGATTTCTGGGGATGGGGGGCCGATGCCTTCTGAGAGTCGATGAACAAAAACGGCATAAGCACAAACTTGTGGAGCTCCGCGCGGATTTCTTTGATCTGCGCTGGAACACCCTGGCGGCGCCTCTGGCGCCGCCCCTGGCGCGCTCCGAGCGCCAGGGAGGGGGGTCCAGGCCTTCTCCAAGAAGTCCGCGCGGACCTCCAAAAGTTTGTGTTTGTGCAGCTTTCCCTTCCTCCAGAGAGGCCGTGGCTTCTTGCCAGGTGCGTCCTGGGTACACGTGACGCTTTGCCAGCGCTCGGCCCCGTGTGCACGAGCACGCTGGCCCCGCACATGCGCGTGCGGCGCGAGGCCTCCACATGCTTCAGGGGTGAATCCAGCCACGTTCGTGCCTAGACCAGCTGTAAGCCGGGCCTGTCCCTCTATAGGAGGAATATTGTCAAACATAGTCTGACGATGTTTTGACTATTTGGATCCCTTTTCTGAATATTGTCAGACTATCTTTTCGTGTTCGCCGAAATTCCGCCTGTAGGAGGACATGCCCGACCTAAGGCTAGCTCCTCGATGCGGAAGGCCGCCCCCCTCCGCCCCACCCGCCTCTCGGAGGAGCCAGAGACCATTGGCACCGACACGCTCCAACATCTCCAGGATTCCCCAGATTTCCTCATGCTCCAAGCGGACTGCAGAGACCAGGGCCCCAGGGCCGCCAGATGCTCTTGGAGCTCCTGGATCGTGTCCTGAGCCAGTCGCATCACGACGGCGTCCTCGTCCCAACTCCTGCGCGCGGCCGGCATACCGCGAGGGCGACAGCGCGGCGAGCCCCGGCGATTGGTGCCAGGTCCGCATCGCGAGCCTGCGCGCGGGGGGCTCCCCGTGGCGCATGGGCCTCTTCGCGATCTGCCCCGTGGAGAACGCGGGCTGCGAGGCGCGCTTCCACCACGTGGCGCTGGGCGCGAAGTGCGAGCCCGTGCACAGGGCCGACAACCCGCTCGACGGCCAGCCCTCTGGCGCGTGAGGTCCAGGGGGGAAAACCCACCCCGACCCCACCATTGGCGTTTACCGAGCGGCCCTGTGCGTTTGCAAGACGGCCCTGCCCTGTTCGGTTCCTTCCTTGGCTGCGCTTGCGAAACGGCTTCGCTTGCAGGGGTGACTCTTATGGGGGTGGGTTCTCTCCCCTTTGCGAGAGCTCCTCTGGCTGCCGCCGCGGCGAGCTCGTGGGCGCCTGTCAGCACGGCTCTGGTTGCCGCGGCGGCGAGCTCGGGGGCGTTTCTCTGCACGGCGCGGGTTCGCCTCGGGCGGTCGCGCAGAGGGTGCGGGGGCCCTTGTCGTCCTGGCCTCTCGCCCATCTCGGCCCCTGGGGCCGGCTCTCCTCATCCTCCTCCTCCTCCTCCTCCTCCTCCTCCTCCTCCTCCTCCTCCTCCTCCTCCTCCTCCTCCTCTATTTCTCCTCCGCTCTACTTCTCCTCCTCCTCTACTTCTCCTCCTCCTCCTCCTCTACTTCTCCTCCTCCTCCTCCTCCTCCTCCGCCTCCTCCTCCTCCTCCTCCTCCTCCTCCTCCTCCTCTTCCTCCTCCTCCTCTCCTTTCTCCTCCCTCCTCCCTGTGCTCGCGTTCGCCTTTTCCTGCTCCCTCTGCCGCTCTTCCTCGAGCCCTCGTCCTGTGGGGCCGGGAGAAGTTCGTAGGACGAGGGGTGGGGAGGGGGGAGGAGGCCAATGCCGAGTGGGCGGCGGGAAGCTCCCCTGCTGCTTGGTGCGTTCTACCCATCGGTCGTTGAAAGGAGGTATTTATGGATCCCCAGAACTCAATCTACTTCAAGCGCCTTCCTACTTCAATAATCGATATGGTTTGGCTGTTGTTTGTTATTCCTTGGGCGGGCCCGAACCCAATCCACTTTATCCGCCTTCCTACTTCATGTTTCTACCTACTTCTTCCGACCAGCGTCTACGGGTGATGGGGGGGGGATGGCGCGCTTCGTCTGATTCAAGGGTACGCTATTTTTTGGTCTTCGCCCGAGCTCCCAGGGAGGAGCCCATCCGCTTCTCAATAGAGTTTACCAGTTCGTCTTTTCTCTTGTCTTGTGCCGGATCGTGCCAGCTGGACACGCCTCTCCGACGACATTTCCTGGCTGACCCGTGTCAGCCCGTCTCCGATTGACGGTCCTGGGGCCAACAATCGGTTTCCAGACGTTGAGGCGAAGAGGTAGGAGGACCACGACGACGGCAGCGACGTTTAGCAACGGCTGCGGTCCCCAGTGTGGAGAAGGGGGAGCTTAATATGTGGCGACGACACGTAGAGATTGCAGAGGTAGATCGATGGAAGCGAAAGGAAGGGGTATGCGAGGTCGCCTGTGGAAGAAGCCAGGTGGTGCTACTTACCATTGGCCCACTTTCTCACAGGAGCACATTGAAGGATCAAGAGAGACAGCGGTATGGAGAGCGAGGAGGAGGAGGAGGAGGAGGAGGAGGAGGAGGAGGGAAGAGGATTGCCCGCAGGTGCATACACAACGGGGAGCATGCGCAGGCGCAGAAGGAGCAGGAGGAGCAGGAGGAGCAAGAGGGGGAGCAGCAGCGGGATGAGGATGCTGCCACCCTGCCCCAGGCGTACATGGAGAGTGGGAGGCGCGCCCGTTGCTGGTACGCCCGGGCCCTGGCCGGCGATCGCGAGTGTGGCGATCCACCGTCCCTGCGATGAGCTGGGTGGTTTGTATGCCACGCTTGCTTCTCAACTTAATTTCTCGCGCGGAAGGTGCGTCCCCCCTCCTCCTCAATCCTCCTCCTCCTCCTCCTTCCCCTCCTCCTCCTCCTTCCCCTCCTCCTCCTCTTCCTCCTCCTCCTCTACTTTTCCTCCTCCTCCTCCTCCTCCTCCTCCTCCTCCTCCTCTACTTCTCCTCCTCCTCCTCCTTCCTGCCTCCTCCTCCTTTTGTTTTCATCGTTGTTTCCTTTGTTGTTGCTAGTTTTTTGTTTGTGTTTGTGTGTGTGTGTCTCCCTCTCTCTCTCTCTCTCTCTCTTTCTCCTATTCAGGATGAGGGGAAGGAAGAAGAGGCTGTGAGCACGTCAGGTCATGCGCACTTTTCGTCTCTCACCGCAGCGGAGTTCATCGCCCGTCTCACGCCTTGGTCGAGCAGATGTGTGCACGCGAGCCCGCCTTGACTCATGGCCCACCTCGCCGTCCCGAGAAAGAGCGCCTGATTTTCACCTTCTCCTGCCCCGCAGCGTTGCACCAACCACTGGTGAGCACAGGCGGGACCTCGTCGGCGCGAGTCGCAGACGTGCTCTCGTGACGAGCGCGATCGAGCAAAGGCATGCGCTCCCTCCGGGGGCCTGCTGAACTTAGGACCGCCAGGGGAGTTGAACGCGCGCCGTGCCAGCGCAAGCGAAAACTCTAGTCCAGGCCGCCGCTGGGCGGATGGCCTCAGGAGTCTGCCGCTGGCGCCTGCCTTGCTCGCAGCACCTACACATTGTTCATTCCAATTCTTCGAAAGTTCTTTGATTTTGTGGGGGCCAAGATCCTTTCATTTCTAATTGTGCTGTCCTGGGCCTCTTCCTGGCCAATAGGGGGCCAGGAACAATTAGAAACGAGCACAAGTAGAAATGAGCACCAATAGAAATTAACGACGTGTATATGCTTTGGCAGAGGGGACGCGCGGCCAGGGGGAAGCCCAAGGAAGGGCCTGGGAAGCACCGGGCCTCTCTCGCAGCCAAAGCGCATTGAAAACTCGTAGCAAGGACGCAGGGATGTCCTCAGGGTGTCCTTGCGTTCTTGCCTCTGCGGCCAGTCATTCGCGGATTGTACTGGCCAGCCCTTCAGGATGTTGGCAGTTCGCCGCCTAACAAGTGCCAACTTCTGGCGTCCAAGGCCCTTACGTCCTTACCGTCCGTCCTTGCTATAGATTTCGACTGTGGGCCTCATCTCATCTGTTTGACGGTATTTCGTCCACAGTCTCTCCTGCGACTCCCCCACAGACCCGAACTCACACGCGGCTGCGCTGCCCGCGCCCTCCGTCCTCCCTGCCACGCGCTGCGCCATCCCCCGTGTGCCCGCTGCCGCCTGTCCTCGAGGGGGATCCGCCGGCGAAACACCAAGAGAGCCCGACAAATCTGACCCGTCGGATCCTCCCCTGTGCGCTCGTGATTCGCAGCGCTCGCCTTGGACCGCTTGCTCCGCAGGGCTCCGGCCGCACTGCAGCGCGGCGGAGGAGGAGGAGGACGAGGAGGAGGATGAGGAGGAGGAGGAGGACGAGGAGGAGGAGGACGAGGAGGAGGAGGAGGACGAGGAGGAGGAGGCGGAGGAGGAGGACGAGGAGGAGGAGGACGAGGAGGAGGACGAGGAGGAGGAGGAGGACGAGGACGAGGAGGGCGATCCTTCGCTCAGGCAGGCTGTCGGGCGCGCGCGCCCCTGGAACCCCCATCCCCGCCACTGCGGCGCCTCCATCGCCGCTCGTGGCGCACCCCGCGCGCGCCAGGGGGGGGAGGGGGGGTGGGGCAGCGGCGGCCCCAGAAGTCCACCCGGGCCTCCGAAGTTTTGTGTTAAGTCGAGCCTGCCCCTCTACAAGAGGAGTATTCAAGAATAGTGAAAAAATAGTACGGGGACGATTTTTGGAGTGTGTTTGGGCATTTTCGGAATACTCTGCCGTTACTAAAATGTTTGACCATTCTTGCAAATCCCAAGGCCGGACCTGCGGCCAGCGCGCCCTCAGGCAAAACTGAACGACGGACATATGCCCATGCAGATCTGAAGCCGCTCACCCTCGTAAAACACAGGCGAAGTAAGTTTCGGAGGACGCGGAGTATGTTTTCGTCAGCTAAAACACAATGCGGAGTAAGTTCAGCAAGAACGCGGAGTACGTGAATCCACGTCAAAAAATTTGCGGAGTAAGTTTGTGCACCGTAATAGTTTTATGATACTAAGGAGAAACGGTTTGGGCGGGATCCGAAACCCACTCCGCGACAGGCGGATGCCATGTTGTAGGATTCTACGGGGAGACTGGGGTCCGTCGACGAATTTTTCAAAACTTTGGTAACGGCATTGTCTGTTCGACTATTTTTAATTTTTCGTCCAAAATCCTTCCTGTAGGGGGACAGGCCCGACCTAAGGTTTGTGCTCATGTTGTCGTGGTATCTTCTACAGTCAACCACGATAGTAAGGATGGGGCAACTTGGCCAGGGTACCCTTGCATCCTTGCCTCCTGGGTCATCCTTGGACATTTTCGTTGGCCGCGCCCCGCTCGAAGCGCTTCGAGATGGGCGTCCAAGGCCCTTACATCCTTACCGAGCATCCTTGTTATCCTGGTTGACTGTACCACGGGCCCAGTGGGGGCCCCAGTGTCAGCAGATACCGGCAGACCTCGTCCCCACGTCTTGGTTGACGTCGGCCCCGGGCAGTCTGGGAGCCCTCGTGCGCTGGGATCTGGGCTCAGGCGATAGCCCGTGGAGGCCTGATGATGGTGGATGCTGATCCTTCTCTCGACCCAGACACGCAGTCAAGCCGCGTCGCAAGAATGCGCAACTTTCCCAGGTGACCCTTGCATCCTTCCCCTTCGGCCTCTCCTTTGCCGCTTTCGCGGGCCGCGCCCCGCCCGCAAAGTGTCGACATGGCCTTCTAAGGCCCTTGCATCCTTACCGCCTTGCAAAAAACGGAGGAGGGGGCGGTGCTGAAGCGAGCACCCGCCTCCTCCTCCTCCTCCTCCTCGTCCTCTTCCTCCTCCTCCTCCTCCTCCTCCTCCTCCACCTCTTCTTCCTCCTCCTTCTCCTCCTCCTCTTCCTCGAAGGCAATGGGGCCGCACCTGGCCTTTGAAGCAGCGCGCTAGCTGGAGCTGGCCCAGCTTCTTCTTATATGGGTTGACTGTACGGCGGCTCGAACGAGTCGATGCGGCTGGCCTTCCGCCAGTTGGGGCACCTGGGCGCTGGTGTGTCCTGCCCCAGAGGGCTCGGGACTGAGAGCCTCTGCCCCAGGTGAGGGGTTGGAGAGGCCCAGGGGCTCACGTCTCGGAGAGATCGAGCCGCTGGACGTCTGACACAA